CCTTGACACAAGGTTCCGTGTGCACACATCAGGCATGTTTGCACACATGTGGCAGCAGTTTTGTGGCGATGACCAAACTGAGCATCATTCACCTTTCCTCTAACAGTGAAGCTGAAAAAAAGGTGTGATGGGTATCTTTTATCACTTCAGGGAGACATAGTGGATGCTGAGAAGTGCCCTGGCAATATGACAGAGCAACAGCAGCTCATATGAACCACATCTTCCCTGGACTGCAAGGAAACTTGCAAGGGTTACTCTGGTGGTGGTCCAGTGAGAGGGCAGCAAGATGAACCACCTCATCTCCATTCACTCGGTAGCTTTAGGAGCACCTTTGGTGTGTCCTGAACTCAGCTACACTAACCAAGGCATCTCACACAGGACTGTGTAAAGAAAGAGCCACATTATCCACTTATTCCTCGAAAGAGCCAAAAAATTATATTGTTTTTCAGGACAAAGAACCTTTGCTCTGTTAATTCAAACAGGACATAGACAAGAAAAAGGGCCTTGCAAACAGTTCCCAAAGCACAACAGTCCCATGCTTTTGAGGACTCTCAGGCCTCCAGAGACCACACAAAACTCTGGATGGAGAATATTGTCTCTTGATAAGTTTTGGCATATTAGAAAATGAGATATATCTTGAAGAACCAAGGACATATTGCAGAGCCCTGGCACAAAGATGCTGTAAAATCAGGGAACAAAATCAGCTTCCTGCTGGTTTTGCTTTCAAAGGATATTGTTTTGGGAATATAGTTAACCTCCTATCCTCAAATGCTCCCTAGGTTCTGTTCAGATTTACATCCCTCCCCTTTAGTATGTATTCAATCACCACATTTTCTGTAAACTAACTATACTAACAATACTTATGGTTGTTGGTAGTCACTAATGAGCGTAAGCCTAAACGGACTGAAAGCCAGCGGCGCTACGGCACTCAAAGGGTAACGATCAGCTGCACAAAGTCCAGCTGGAGAGCAGCCAGCGGGGGTGCAATCCAGGGGTCAATACTGCGTCTGGTACTATTTTAGTGTCTTCATTAATAACTTAGATGTGCTCCCTCAGCAAGTTTGAAGATGATACAAAATTGGGAAGGGGATTGCTATGCCAGATGGGTGTGCTGCCATTCAGAGTGACCTCATCAGGCTGCAGAAATGGGCTGACAGGCTCCTCATGAATTTCAAAGAGGGAAAAACAAGAGTCCTGCACCTGCAGAGCAATAACCCCCCACACTAGTACATGATGGGGGACAAATGGATGGAGAGAAGCTGAGAAGAACCTGGTAGAACAGCAGTCAGCAAGGTGTCCTTGTGGCAAAGAAGGCTGGTGGTATCCTGGGCTGCATTAGGAAGATGGTTGCTAGCAGGATTAGCGAGGTGACCATCCCCTCTGTTCAGCACTGATGAGACACATGTGAAGTGCTGGGTCCAGGTCTATGCTCCCCTGTTCAAGAATGGCATGGGCATACTGGAACAAGTCAGCAAAGAGCCATTAAAATAATTAAAGAATGAGAGTATCTCATACAAGGAGAGGCTGAGAATGCTGGGACTATTCAGCATGGACATGTGCTCTAAGCAGAGGGGTTGGACTACATGGTCTCCACAGCTACCTTTCAACCTCAGCTGTTGTGTGATTGCCAAATCACTTTGGATTGACCATAAGTTTGAATGAATGACCTGGGCAATGGACTTCCTTGATTCCGCAATAATAATCTGTTTTATAGCATTCCTGTGCAGAGGTAATCGTTATTACCATGCACTTAGAAGTTGGATGAATTTCAGCAGCTGATACAGTAATTCTTATCTATTTTGTTGCTAAACCTTTTCAGAAGGAAAGGAACAAATGTAAGGTTACTATTTACTGTGTTACTTTCTTTGCACGGGTCAATATTAGTTTTAATGAATTTATTGTCAGACGATTTAAAATCCAAATAAAGATCTTAAAAGTGGTTTTACAGTACTAGCATCTTTACAGAATAAAAATCATCAATGCAAGTTTCTACTTTGATTTAAATTGCCCCCTATTTTTAGCGCTCCAACAGTGCACGACTGTACTGATGCAGCTCAAGATCAAGCTGGGACGCACACGCCAGCGGTGTTCAGCGTGCAGCCAGCCATCTTCTCCTCCTGCTCTTTGCAGAGCCAGCAGTGCCCCAAGTGAGGCAAAGAAGGGCGAGTTCAACTCCAGTGCTTTCTGGGTTCACATCTTATAGTTCTCACTAAACCTCCAAGAGGCAATCGTGTTTCAGAAAGCTTATTAGGATATCTCAGTGCTGGATAAAAGAAATAATGTAATAGAGGATAAAGTTCTCATAATCTCATAAGAAAATCCCACGGTTCTCCATGAAACTCATGTAATTGCTTTGTCATTGTGCCTGTTTCTGTTAGAATCTCTGAAAGGGCTCTCTGAGGAGTCTGAGACGGCATTTGCAGGCATGGAGATGGGACCTGAACACCAAAAGATCATTCACGAGGCACATGGACCCAGCCCAGATGATTCATTACTGTACTGAGACCAAGTAACTGTCAGGACTATCTCTCAACCTGAGATGTAGCACTAACTTATTCTTGGGATGATGACATGAAATGTCAGTCTAAATTCTGGCTGAGAGTGAAGATTCTCCTCCTTTGTAAGGAGGAACCTGAGGAAACTCTCTGTGTGGAAAGAAGAGTGGGTGACTGTGGAGGAAAAAGTGGCTCTCTCTCTGAGCTTATCACAGAATCACAGAAGGGTTGAGGTTAGAAGGGACCTCTAGAGATCATCTAGTCCAAACCCCCTGCTCCAGCAGGGACACTCAGAGCACGTGGCACAGGGTGGCATCCAGGCAGGTTTTGAAGATCTTCAGAGGAGACTCCACAACCTCTCTGGGCAGCCAACGTTGGACCCTCTCTAGAAGCTCAATGTCCTTCTTGAACTGGAAAGTCCAGAACTGCACACAGTACTCCAGCTGTGATCACACCAGAGCTGAGTAGAGGCGGGGGATCACCTCCCTCGACCTTATGATATTATGAAAAACAGTTTAGACAAATAAGCCCTTGCTAGCTGCTGTTGCATTTGAATTGGTCAGAGTATTTGGTCAAATTGTTCAAGTTTACTGAGTCTTGTGGACTTTGCGTATAAGAAGGATGCTACAGGAGAAGCTTGCTCTTGTGTCGTTGTTTGCAATAGGGTAGCTGAGGATGGTAACTCAGTGCTACACATCCATCAACATCTACTTTAAAGAGCTAAACACAGTGCTTTAAGAATCTCACCAACAAGTTGGATATGTGTTGGGAAAAACAGACAAATAGTTCTCAAAACCGTATTTTATAAACAAGGCTTAATCTATACTTAAAAGGATTTCAGAAAAAAAAAAAAATGTCATTTTTATGCAGCTACTTATTTTTCCCATCTAGTGCAACCTGACTACGAATGACATTCGTCTACTGGTTAGTTTGGGCAGCTGCAACTGCTCTGTCATTTTGGAAATGTTCTCCTTATTCAGAAAAAGAGAGTTGTACTTTGCAGACAGAATTTGGAAACTTTCAAGCTGAGACAAGTCTGGCAGTTTCTCTGGCAGTTTGACCAAGAGCAAACAGAACACTTTGTATATCTTGGCATAAATAAACACTGCCCTTAGATGTTCCTGTTCAAAACCAGGCAAGGGGGAAGGGCTATGGAGTCTCTTTCAATCTCTCCCCACAGGACACTACTTGGCATTGTGGCACTTCAAATATTATTTGGGGACTAGCAGTGGAGATGTTGTAAAATAAGTACATAGTACATATTTTAATAAGCTGCATAAACAAGAAATCATTGTATTTTGTACTATGATTGTCTGTACTATGAATAAAAAATATTTGCTCAACCATCTCAAGCCAGTGGCCCACTGCTCTCCCTGACTGTAGAGGTAACTGTGCCGCAACTACAGACAGGCTCTTTTGCAGATACTGGTCCAGGTAGGCCAGGTTCACACTTGCTGGCCAAGGAGCGTGCCAAATCTTTCTGCCAGAGGCCTGAGGGACTGCCACTCACAAGAAGACTGATAAGAAGCACTATTGCCACTACTGGAACCTATCTGGGGAATGACAGTTACAAATTGCTGTTGGTGATTCACAAAACAGTGACCTAAAAAGGCTGCCTGGGAGCTACAGACAAATATGAGCTTCTTGGGAAAGCAGTGTGATTTCATAGGCGTTGGCACCTCCTTCTCTAAATTAAACCAAACCCTGATTGATAGGTAAGTGTATTAGACACAAATAACTTCTTAATTATGGACAAAGGTGGGGCCAAACTCTTCTCCGTGGTGGCCAGTGACAGGACAAGGTACAAGTTGAAACATAGGAAGTTGCATCTCAATGTGAGGAAGAACTTCTTTACTGTGAGGGTGACAGAGCGCTGGAACAGGCTGCCCAGAGAGATTGTGGAGTCTCCTCTGGAGAGCTTCAAAATCCGCCTGGATGCCACCCTGGGCCACATACTCTAGGTGTCCCTGCTGGAGCAGGGGGTTTGGACTAGATGATCTCTAGAGGTTCCTTCCAACCTCAACTGTTCTGTGATTCTGTGACATTTGTTTGGGAAACTTTGGTGGCCTGACTGTCCCCTCTGTGGAACACGCAACTGCTGTCACTGTTCAGTGGACAGATTTGGTATCGTTTGCTCCATCCTGGACTGTACTGGGAATCATTAAAAAGCAGATTGTATCTCCTACAGCAGCTAATTGTTTACCTTCTTGCTTTGTAGCAAATGGGGTTTAGATAATGTAAACACAGAGAATTAAGTCTGACTTTAACAGACTTTTAAAATTGCATTTCTTATTTTTCTCTTATAACTGATGCAATAGTGCACATGTTACTTTTATATTTAGCGTTATCTGTGAAAGGACTCTGGTCACATTAATCAGCTGCTAGCTCCTAGATAATGAAACACTTAGAGCTTCAGGGCAGTTTAGCACAGACTATGAAACATGGGAAGCCAGAGACAAGGAAAGCTTGAAATAGCCGGTATAAGGCAGCTTGAGGGAAAGCTTGAAAGTTTTTGTGAAATAGCTTATATTTACCTTTTAGTACTTTTTTTTGCAGAAGCTGTAATTTCATTTCCCCTTGTTAAATAAATAAATACTGGTTAATTTATGCAGCTAAAACATTAGCATAAGTCTCCATTTTGAATTAAATTTCTTCCTACTTTAATTATTTATAACATTCACAATTTATTCTGCTTCTTTTTCTATTCACTCTTCAACAGATAAGGAGACAGAGCTGCTGTTTCACATTTCTTCTGTCCAGTTCTTTCTGATTCTCCTGCCTAAAGGCAGCACTGTTCAAACATATATTGTGTGTGTGCGTGTATATATATATAAGAAATATATATAACACAGTGGTTAAACGATTTTCCTCCCCTACTAACAATCCCTTGAGGTATTTTCCTGTGTCTGTACGAGTAAACTGCCTGCTAGATCTCCCCTGCACTTCCATTTTGACCTCTGCAAAGGCAGCTGAGGCAGGCGGCAACGCTGCCAGGTACAGAAGACAATGCTGCTGTTCAGTGACACTGCAATTACATTTTAATATGCCCATTGCAGGGACAGCCGAGCTATTTAAATCGGTGTGGAGATCGGATTTGGAGGATTTCACACTGTGACACACAGAGCATGGAAAAAAACATCTTTAATAAAAGCTCAATTATGTCAGTCAGACACCAGTGCAAAAGCCGACTATGCCAGGCTGAGCAAACTCCAGGTTTCACTCGCACAGTCCAGATGCTGCTTCACGCTTTTACTTCACATGCTCGGACGAGGCAAGAGGGCCCCTAAAACAACTTCGCGCCACCTTTCCCACAGTTTTATCTTCTATCACGCAGCCCAAAAGCCGAGTATGCCAGGCTGAGCAAACTCCAGGTTTCACTCGCACAGTCCAGATGCTGCTTCACGCTTTTACTTCACATGCTCGGACGAGGCAAGAGGGCCCCTAAAACAACTTCGCGCCACCTTTCCCACAGTTTTATCTTCTATCACGCAGCCGACCGCGGCCTGTTCCTATCAGCGGAAACCCGCGGGAGGGCAGCGCCACCCGACAACTCCTCAGACACCGTCCAGCACCCCCCAAC